CTGGTCCGATCACGTATCTCTCTGCCCGCCAATCAAACTGTGACCTTATCAATCCCACATGTTCCCATTGGCCAGGTTGGCACCATAAACCTACCTATCACACAGGCCTTGCCCGCCTGCCCAGTGGCATGGCTAGCTGGCCAGCTACGGTGCCCATGCTCCTCTCTGTTCCACCTTGTACCTTGTATGCAGGGACGTGCCTCAGTCACGCAAGGCTGCCTCAGGTAGGAGCATCCAGGTCATCAGAGATCCCCCCTGGGTTCGTATCTGCCCCCCTTGTTCCTTCAGCCAAGTTTCTACCATCAGGATCCTTTCTGCCCCTCAGGCTCCCTCTGCCAGTCTGGCACTCCCCTGAGAAAGAAGTACTCTGTCCAGCTTGCTCATGGGACATCCCTGAGACTCAGCAGAGAGCCTGGCACAGCGCCCGCACTGGGGCTGGATGGAAACCCGTACAGGATCTCCCTGGTGGTGTCGTGGTTACGAGTTGGGCTGCTAACCAAAAGGTCAGCAGTTCAAAACCACCAGCGGCTTCCTGCTCCCGTAAAGAGTTAGTGTCTCGGACACTCCCAGGGGTGGATTTACCCTGTCCACTAGGGTCGCTGTGAGTCAGGGTTGACTTTGTGGCAGTGAGTTTCCCGAGCCATCCAGGTGACTCTGCCCCTTTCTGTGCTAGCCTCTCATGGTCACCAACGAGCCCCAGTGGCACAGTGGTTACGTGCTGGGCTGCTCACCAAAAGGCCAGCGGCTCGAACCCCCCAGCCACTCCATGGGAGAAAGCACTGGAGAGCCTGCTTCTGGAAAGGTGCTCGTCGGGGGCAGCTCGGCCTTGTCCTGCAGGGCCGGTAGGAGTTGGCACTGGCTTGAGGGCACCGGTGTGGTTCAGTTTGGTTGTGCGGGGACGGCTGAGTGGCGTGTGGGCAGCCTGCTGAGTGTTCTGATGATGCAGAATCAGCCCGCCAACCACAGACGAGTTTCTGCAGCAACAGGCCGATGGCACGCTCCTCCCGCCGTGATGCATTCAGTTTGTCTCCCGTGGCAGACAGCTCAGCGGGGACCCTAGCTCTGTTTTTTCCTTTCCTCCTCTTCCTTAGGCCAAGGAGCCCTGGTGGGATTCTGGGTTGCTCATGGGGTGGCTAACCACAAGGTCAGCAGTTTGAACCCACCAGCCGCCTCCGTGGGAAAAAGATGAGGCTTTATGGTCCGGTCAAGGTTTAAGCCTTGGACACCCTCAGGGGCCCTTCTGCTGTATTCTTAGCATCCCCGTGAGTCAGAATTGACTCAGTGGCAGTGAGTTTATCTCTTGGGCTGGAGCCAAGTAACAAAGCGTTGGGACAGAAGCACTGGCGCCACGTTTTAGCTTCCAGCCAGTCGCATTGGGTTAATCACGTGAGAAGCGGGCTTTACTGTAGGGTACCGTTTGAGAGTTTAGAAGAAATCCCTGAGACACCAAGTGGCCATTGATGTTCTCACAGAGGGGTGCTGGGGCCGGGAGGAAGCTGTATGCTGGACTTGGATCTGCTGTGGCGAGGATCGAGGATCGGGCGGAGTGGGGGGAGGTAGAGAGAGGCTGGAGCTAGCTGTGGGTGCCATTGCTGAGATGGTGTCTTTGAATCACTGTGATCTGGCCCCTTCTACCCGAGGATGACAGCACGTCAGCTTACACAGGAGGGAGTGTGTCATTTCTCTCTGGTGACAGTCCAGCTGGTCTCGGCTGGTGGGCTCCCCGCAGTTACTGGGCTATCCCCATCTGCCGATGTGTGGTCCTCTGGGTGGCTCCCTGTGAGGGAAGCCGGGTTGCTGGCGTGTCCCCCTCATGGAGAAGGGAAAGAGATGTTTGGAGCAAGCTGAAGCAACACACACATGGCCATGCTGATCATCAGCCCTCGGTGAGGTGACCTTCAGGCCCCTGGGAAGAAGGGAAGGCACGTTCACAGGCACTTCTCATACAAACCCTCTTGTCATCCAGTGGGGAGGCTGTCACAAAGGGGAAGGGACTTGTCCCACGTCACACAGTGCACTCAGGTGGGACAAGGACCAGGGATGTGGACCGTGGTCCTCCCTCTTGGTTGGGAGCTCCTCTGTCAAATGGAGACCCTAGTAATAATCATAGTTGCTCGGGAGAAGAGTATATCTGGTCTGCAGGGGTCAGTGGCTACCTGAACATC